CAACTGTACGTTGTTATATCGCTACTATTTCGCTAATTTGCGTTTGTTACGTAAATTGATTCTAGTTTTATTTGATACGTTTAGTTTGAAATGGATATGTTCGAAGATTTTGATATAAGTCAGGACGATTATCGCAATTAGATCAAATTGAAATTAATTTGTTGAATAATAGTTTCCATATAAGCTCAGATGAAGAAGACAATATTCATCCAGTTTCGCGTAACCGTCGTCGAATTATGGTGATAGATAGTGAAGAGAGCGAGTCCGAAGAGCGTCCAGTTCCAGCTACCTCGGGGCAGACGACGCCGCGTAAACGCACTTGGACTCTACCAACAGGTAACCAGAGAAGTATTATACCGTTTACGGAAAATCCTGGCTTGCCTACCTATCTACGTTTGGCTATGAGTAAAAAATCACCAATTGATTTTTACTCCCTTTTGGTTCCGGATGACGTTTTTGGGCAGATAGTTGAAGATACGAATCAATTCGCTATTAACACCATCACAAAGCGCAATGCTTCAAAAGCAGCACGAATACGTAATTGGTCACCTACTAATGTGCATGAGATGAAAAGCTTTTTTGCATTAATTATGTTTTATGGGATTGGTGAAACTTCCTAAACTGTCCGACTACTGGTCAAAGGACGAAATAACAGGTCACCGTTTTGCATCAACAATTATGTCTCGTAATCGCTTTGAATTGCTTCTGCAAATGCTTCATCTTTCCCGGCATGACGAATCTCACAGATCTGATAGATTACACCGCATTAGACACTTACTTGATACCATGAACACCAATTTTGCAAAGCATTACACACCAGGCGAAGATTTATGTATCGATGGAAAGCGTGGTGCCATTTCGTGGCAGAATCATTTTCCGACAGTATAACAAACAGAAGCGCCACAAATATGGCATTAAAGAGTTTAAATTATGCACACTACGGGCTACACTTACAAAATTAATATTTATGCAGGAAAAGCAAATGATAACGTTAACACTACGCCAGAAAACGTAGTAATGTCACTTTGCAGTGGCTTATTGAACAAGGGACATACCTTGTACACAGATAATTGGTACACAAGTATTGATTTAGCTAGGAATTTATTGAAAAATGAAACGCATCTAGTTGGCACGATAAGAAAAAACGAAGGAATATCCCAAAAGAAGTAACTACTGCTAAATTGAAGAGAGGCGAGCATATAGTCAGAGAAAGCAACGATGGGATAACAATCATGAAATGGAAAAGATAAAGGGACGTGCTTGTTCTTTCGACGAAACATTCAGACCGTTTTATGACAATCACAAAGCGAGGAAAAACAGTTTTGAAGCCGAAAATCGTTCTCGACTATAATAGAGCGAAAGGAGCAGTGGATTTGTCCGACCAGATGGCGGCATACTCCTCGCCACTAAGGAAATCTGTAAAGTGGTATAAAAAGTTGGCATAAACCTACTCCTAAATACTGCGGTTGTAAATGCACTAATATTATATCAGATAGTAACTGGAACGAAAATGCAAATAGTTGAGTTTAGGAAACAGCTGGTGAAAGGTTGTTGATGAGAAGTGAAGAAACTTCAACAGATGCTGTTACAAGGCCAAAAAGAATGAGACATAAACTTGCAAGGAAAGACGGTTCTAGTAAAAATAATCGAAGAACATGTCAGCAGTGCTATAAAGAAAATACACAAGTGATGGGCGAAAGTTGGCCAAAAATAAACAAAAAAAGTTGTTACTTTTTGCGACACTTGTCCAAATAAACCATTTTTATGTTTTGACTGTTTCCATAAAATTCACTAATATTAGATATGTATAAATTACGTTGATCTCAATTTAAAGTCTGATTTCATTTTGCTTTCTTTAAACTTCAAATAATAAATTATACGTCTGATTCACAGAAAAAAATGTTGTTTCATTCAAAAAGTGTCCCCCGATAAAGTCAATTCAACTATGTTCTTATATCATGCTCATCGTGAAACCTTACATTCTGGCTAATTCAATATCTAAATAGTAATAATGTGTGTTTATTCTGTTCAAAAGAACTATTTAAAACACAATAAAAGCTATTTTGTACGAAATAAGATAATATACTATACCTCAACCTTGCAGTGAAAATATTGTCCCAACATTACGTAACTTATTTTTAAAGTTATATTTTTTACTAAAAACCAAGTAGAGTGCATTTGTCTACAGGGCCGTGGGGTCACGTACAATACATTTTAGCTTGAAATCTGTGTCCCACGGCTCTGTAGCGAAGTTTGAATTCACCTCTAGCTCGCGGTCATACGGTGTCCCCCACGGCCCGAACGGAACAACTGTGTGTGGCCCAAATGTTAATAGAGATTTGCTTTTTTTTTTGTGAAATGAAGAAGAGGATTTGATTGTCGTGTCTCCGAAACTACTGGACGAATTTAACAAAATAATTATTATAGGACTGCTTACTTTTTGTATTCCCAAACCAGTAGAGTGAATATTTAATCGCGTTAAGATAAAAATGGAAAAAGGATGGGGTCTCGAATGAAATCTTTTACATACCGGGCATTTAAATTGCATTAGATTTCCTAATTTAGATTATACACTTCGAGTCTGGCTCAACATAGTCTAAAAAATATGTTGTCCAACAGATCTATGACAGGCGTAAAACTAGACTTAATTTTCTTACGGTACATTGCTTACAAGGTTAATGATTTCGATTGAATCACCACAGACGTAACAAGGGTGAGTGTTCCCATCATTCTACTATCAAAAACATATGTCAAGAAGATGGTGCAATAAATACTTCATGGCTTGAAACTCTGCCAACAGTGTTGCTAGTACATTACGAAAATAGAATAAGGAAGTGTTTAAAAAAAATTGCAACCGTTTTTGTGGTAATTTCTTATTGCGAATCGTACCTACTTTAGAGCGTTGATGAAAGCAATGAGTTAGAGACGTTAACTATCAGAGTCAATTAAATTATAAGGGATGCGGTTACCGATAGTTATATCAGATAATTGCTTTGGGAAATGGAGAGTTAGAAAATAGATAACGAACACCTTTAAGACCGGGCAGACGCGCTCTCTGAATTACAGAAACTTTTAAACTAGGATACGGCGCATGCAGGTTTTAATCGCCGAAATTGGGGAGAATCAAATCCCTCTTAAAAGTGAAAGCTCATAGTCAATAGTCAACGGAAGTAGTGGATTGTCAGGGGTATGTTGATGATATTTCAACACCAAACCAAGAAGTTACGGTACTTAAGATCGTCCCAAAATCTAACGCTTCTTTCTACAATCGGTGAGTTTTGTTATTCTAGATAGCGTTTCGTTTTTGGTTTGTACACAACAATGCTACCGGTCAACGAGCACGTTTACCTGTAAGCTATCTATAAACCCGTAATTTAAAGCTATCCAGGTAATACACTATAGAACTGGCAATATGGCAATTATTTACCTGGCAAACTCTGTGGGTATTAACAGAATAACAGGCTGAACTAAATAGAGAAGTCAAGACAAAATAGTAAGCGATAAAATTGGAATTTCTTTGCTCTGCCATCGGCGGTCCGAGGCCCCGCGGTTGGAGTCCAGTCCGACTGTGTAAAACAAAGCCTTTTCTTTGAAGTCGCGTAATGGCTCATGAATTTGGGCCCCAGGGGTGAATGAAAACTAGTTATGTTACCTTGTTTAAAAGTTGCGCGAAGTTGTACAATAGACAGTTAATTAACCCTTTTAATATAGGGGATGTTCATAGCCCAGTAATTTCTGGGGCTAGGGATGATGTTGATCATGGTTTCCAAATGGCGTACTTCATTGCTTCGTAAAAAGAAAGGTAGAAAGATATTTGGTAGGTGAGAATTATAATGGGATTTCATAAAATACCTATATGTATATATAGGTACTTAGATGTATTGTTAGGTTTTACTCTTAGCAGCAGTAGTAGTAGGAGTAGCACCGCGACAGTCGCCGCGTCGCGTATCGCGGAATGCTGCTCATGAATATGGGCCTCTAGTATGGCTTGAAACTAATCGAGTATCTCGGCAAATTATTACGTGAGTAAGCCGAAAACATAACAATTAAGGTTTTACTCTTGTTATATACTTAGTTCAATGTAAAAACGGCAAGCCAAATTCTAAGACATTCATATTAGTAGTTACATTAACAAGTAAATTATTTACTTTCACAAGAAAAAAATAATATTTATTTATATAATGTTTTTATATAAATAAATAAAGGCTATTTATTTTTCAAATATTTTGTCAATATGTTAAATGTCAAGCTGATTTAGTTTATTATTCAATGAGTAAAATAAACAAAATCAATCTTTGTTAACATATTGTGTAATAAACTACTGTAGTTACATAAATTATTATGGATTAAATCAAATGCAGTGATGCATTAACAAAATATTACTTAAAAAGTGGCTATGCGCTAGAAAATACTGTTATTTTCCTTGCACAGTCTAATTACTGGCTGAAATGACTATGCCTCATAATGTATGCCATAATCAGGAGCTAATAAAACACTAATTTTCTTACATCAGCACATGTGTAAAGCTATGTAAATGACAAAAGAGGCTAAACATTAAATGACCTCTGTAGAGGTACAACACAGTAATCATCAGTGTCATAGACAAATATTATGCTAATGTCGTTTTTATAGTAAACAACAAAAATAAAGAGGCACTGATATTACACATCAGCCTCTTTAAACAATTATTTTAAATTGTCCACATATTAGTTGTTTTAAGGGACATAAATTGTGTTATGATATTACATAAACATTTGAAATTTATGTGAACCGGCCTAACAACATGTTGCGTAAGTCTGCAACATGTAAATGCACCAGAATTATTGTCATAAGCTGTTCCCAGTTTTTTGCGGTAATTTAAAGCTACATATATTAACTTTAACACAAAAATCTGCTAACGACAACATATAAATGTAAATAGTCAATACAACAATAACTGGTTTGGCACCTGTTTGCGTTAGCCGCTATTGTGTATGATATTTAATAAGAAGGTACTTTACCTTTTCAAAAATTCTACGCCAATACAAATCAGACCGCGATGGTGTCAGCGGCATGGAAACAGTAGTTTCTCTCTGTCCAGAAGGCATTTTCACTCAAAAAATAAACAGTAAATGATGATAAATGTAAAATTATTAAGCTAAGTAGCACATCATAACACAAACTTAAATAAGACACATTGGAGATTGAACATGATCGATTTATCCTTTACAATGCCTGATAAGATAGCGATTGTAGGAAAAGATATATATTTCGCGATAATCTTTATTGTATTCGTATTTATTTAGCGCAAATAAAGACGACAACCAACACAAGGATACCGTTAGCGACTGACTGAAACGTGAACGCAAACAATGAATGAATGACTCGTACGCTGACACTTTTGACATTGACATTGATTGAATGGATGAAGTATTGAATATTAATACTGGCAACACTTCAGTGGTGATAAACCAAAAATATCCAGGCCATAAACTCCAAAAAAAAAAAACCAAAAATAAAAACAAAACCTAATAAAAACCTTAATATCAGCGATTTTAATAACATTGTAGTCGTTTAATGTCTTTGTATTAGCGAAGTCAGGTAGAAGCGAACAGCAAATGCCGGCGTTCAAAACGTGGTCATGACCTCCTGACATAATGTCATATGTTACTGGTTGCCATGGCAATGGTGTTTATTATCAATCGTCCTTAAAATACTGTTATCAAACTTACTGAAAACAAAAAGAAATATCATAAATGCACGATTTTAATCGATGTAACAAAGTTGCAGGCGTATACTGGTTAAAGAAGGATGTAAGAGATTTACAATTAAAGTAAGTAGTATGTAATCAATTATCAGAATACTCATTGAATTATAAAAAATGTGGCTACCTGTTTCATTTACTTATAAGTTAAAACTGATATAACACACTATAGCGACGAATGCTGATTTTTTGATTTGAAAATAATATCTTAGTATTTTTCAGAATAAAATTAAAGCCCCAAGATGGCATTTTAACATTACCAAAGTTCGAAGACTGTACCAAAGGCAGTAACATTTTAAAACTAGAAAACACTGCAGAAGAGTATTCATTTAAATGGCAAGAAAAAGTGTTCAGTTTGTGGGAAATCCAACGTTATACAGATGTGCACAATTGCATCACAGAAACAGAATTAAATTACCATGAAGTTTTACAAAACATAGAGTATAAGCCTGCAAAGGTATTCAGTTACATTCATGACGATTATTTCCTGCCACTGCCTGTAGATTTAAAAAAAAGAAATAATAGTCTGCTCAATTTAGACCACTACATGGAGAAGTTGAATTTAAATGATGCTATTGATAAAGCATTTGGCGGTGACACAATTTCTGCGACTAGTTTGTTTAAAAGTGAAGAAAATATTGCACTAACTGACGAGGATTGGACAGCCATGCATATTGTATTTGACAATTCTGATTATAATGAGTAAGTAGCATTAAGTTTAGTACACAAAACTAAGGAAATTGGAAGTTTTAATGAAAAAACAACAGCTTTATATAAAAAGAAATGTATTATTTAGTTACTTTTCTATAAGTTTCCTTCGGCTTTCCGTCTTTCCTTTTTATATACTTTGAGCCAATTATTGACTTTATGTATAGTACTTTTATGATGATATAATATTATGATCTCTACAATACATTACTTAACAGTAGGCAGCTTTTCTTGAAACCAATAATACTTCTTTACCTTATTCTTTACTTTTAGAGACTCTCAACTTATCTTCAAGCAAGAAGTACCTCTTCTTTCTATCTATCACAACACAGTACACAACTACCTGGTAATGATGCCAGATGCCAACAAACTCGAGCTTAATCCATACATAGTGGAGACATCGGAAGGTGTACCATGGGGATACCAGTACAGCGTTGAAAAAGAGTTTGAAGATGATGATGCTGAAGAGCTAGTGATATTGGTATGGCTATTAATTATTTATTTAATTGTATTATAATCAGCAGCATTCTTTGATAAACTAGTACTTTTTAAATGCTATCACCAACAATGAAATGTTTGCCGTGCATAAAGATTATAAAGAATAAAAACAATAATATATTTATTTGAATAGAGTATTACTGATATCAATAAATAAAAGAGGGTTTTACATACATCACCTGTTATTTTCCTCGTGCAGAATTATATGTAGAGGTAAGAACATTAACATAACAAAATTTACATATATTTTAGTAACTTAAGAATGAGCAATTCTTAAGTTACTAAAATATTTTAAGTTCATGCATGATCACATGCAGATTGTGGCAAACCTCTCTTATCATAAAGAGGAAGCCCAAAAACCTACAGAGGAATGTTTAGGCTGTTGCTTACTTTATCTTACGTTTGTTATCAAATCCCAATACAATTTATTATTAAGAATTAAATTAGAGAGATAAGAAATGCTGTACTTAATTTTCTTTCTACTGTTCAAAATATTCATTTTTATTTAAGTACATAAAGATCTTTCAATCTTAATGCTTGTTAACACATCTATGATGTAATATTGTAAATGAATTTAAACAATACTGTTCTGTAATATTGATTTCAGTTATCAAAACTCTACAAAAGATGGGAACGGAAACAGAAACATTTGTTAAACTTTGTTATGCCGTCCCCTGGCAAGAAGCAATACTATGTGACACTAGAGATTTTAAACGCAACAGAATTTGATATGGACAACATGTACATCGAGTTTGACATCAAGGTAAGTCATTTAAAATCTTTTCATTAATTGAACATACATGAAAATGGTGAATCATTAGATTGAAAGAAATATGTAGGTACTTATACATATTATTTTGTTAAGTAGATAATGCTTCTCATTTATTAGATTCGAGAGAGTGCTCGACTAGTTACAAGCTTCGAATGGGGTTGACGTCTTTTGTTTTGCCTTGAATGGCAACTGAGTCTCCAATTCAATGTTAAGGGTTAATGTCAGTCAGGCAAGTCATCTTTGATTGAATTACTAAACACACATTGAATACCCACTTCCTGCTGTAAGGGACAAGTGATTGGCAAACATCTGGCATTATCTTTTTTTTTAAATACGTTGCCCTACTGAAGGATATTCTCCTGTGTTGTGGGTGCGTTTACAAACATACAATGTCACATACACATGACACCCAGACCCGAAACACCAATTTGTGGATCACACAAAGTGTTGTTCCGTGCGGGAATCGAACCCGCGACACGTTGCACGGCAGCCAGTTGCCCAGCCACCGCACCAACCGTGCAGTCAAAGTCCTAATTGGGTACTTGTCAACTTAAAATTCAATACTTTTCAAAATGTCAAAAACTTCATTTTCCACGAAATAGCACGTTGTGACGTCATCGTATTTTTTTACGTCAAAATCAAAGGTATACTATTTCTCTTCAATGACTTAAGAAAAAGAATGTTGAAAGTAGATATCGTAAAATTAATGAATGAAGCTTTCTCGGAGGAGAGAATATCGTTGTATGACTTCTCCCGCCCAGGGTGAGGCGAGAGGTAGTGTCCGACACTCACTGACTAAAAATCCTCCCATTCATTTTCCTTTTCTAGGCCCGGATATGAGCAACCCCGATTTAATGAATGGAGCTAGGATTATTTTTAAATTCTTTTATGGTTTTATAAGCTGTAATCACTTCTTTCGACTGAGGAAACTATCCGATTCGAGGTTCAATATTGTTTCTAAATGTTTAAGGTGCCTGAAGACATACAGTGCTCAGACTCTCTTCAAGGAAAGACACATACAAGCGAGGCATTTGAAGTGGAAGGCTATAGAGAGTGGAGCTATGGACATATCATTGAGTTCAGTTTAGAAATGAACACAGGGACAGGTGAGTTGTTTGATTATGTTTTTAAGGAAATTATATTTTGTCTGTAGGAAGAAAATTAAATTCATCCCATTGCCAAAAAAACATATCGCCACCGAATCGCCCCTCTTTCATATATCGACAGCACGCGACAAAACCATGGACGGGTAGTGAATTTTGGGGCCCTGGACTGCAATAATTTACCACCCACTGGGCCCACTTAATAAGTAAGCTACTGCCAGCTAGTGCTCGTGTAAACTATTTTCGAAATATAAATTTAAATATCAGTCTTTCATATTTTATTCGTCGTGGCTTATTTCGGAAATCAATTATTCCGATGGTTTTTGGCGGGGTGTAGCTATGAGGCCTTTGGCCTACAGCCTAAAAAGTCCTTAGATCGATCCGCCCCCGGACTCAACACGCCACGCCACGCATGTATGTTTCTAACTATACTTAATGAAACCGATATGCTTCTAGCGCAGCACGAACGCCTCGGCATTTGATTGTATAGACACCCACTCCATTAATGAGGCAGTAAGTAGTTGACTAAACTTTGTGTTATCCTCAAATCGTTGTTGCGGGTCTGGGTGGCTTGTGTATGTGAATTTATGTGTTTGTAGATGCACTCACGACACAAGACAAACACCTAAAACACCAAAAGTCACAGTGGTACTTGCTAGGTTTCGAATCTCTTGAATGAAGGGCCAACTATCGGCTCATCTCCCCTGTGTATGCCGTAGTCAATAATGCATATCTAACACATTCAGTGCCACTGACTCGCCCAGAGAGTCCACGTATTCCAGCGCCGTGGACTCGCCCCGGCGAGTTCAACGTAAAATGTACGAAATGTAGGCGGCACTCGAGATATCATTGTGAAAATCGTAGTGGTAATGAAAGTGTTAATCCTCCAACTCTCAATTACAGAACCAGCACCTATCAAGGTGTTCCTCGAAGCCATATCGTCAGATTGGTGGGGTCGACACCGCACCGAGGGTTACACCTACCTGCCTCTTACGCTGGAGCCTGGGTGCTACTCTAAAGACCTGACATGCATGAGGCCTGAGGAGTTGGATGCAGTCGAAGCTGAAAGTAGGCGGTTCTTTCTAGGAGGGTGCCATCTGATCAAGGATCTGAATGTCCTGGCTGAACAGCAGTTGCAGGTGAGATACCCCCACAAGTTGCTTTTATTTTTCTTAGTATTTTTGTACAATTATTAAACCTTGTAAGCACCTACATATTTCATACTGTGTCGTGTCGATTTCACTTAATATATACCTACTATTAAGTAGAGATTCAATTTTAACGTGTCAACAGTGTACTTATACCAATTTGAATATATTAAAATACACTTCTTTAAACGTTGCCCCAAACTAATATTTATTCTGAGCCGTAGGAAAAGAATCATACAAATTCATATACACATCACACCCAGACCCGGAACAACAATTTGTGGATTACACAAAGAGTTGTTCCGTGCGGAAAACGAATCCGGGACACGGTGCACGGTCACCGCGTCAACCAAGCAGTCTTTGCATGCTTTGACTTAACTTGAATGGCCTCTTGCCTATCTATTTTACAGTTCACTAATAATATTAGACCCCTAACTGAACTGCTTATTCACTCACCTTATAAAACTTCACAATTCCAGAATGCAAACTACAAATACACCACAACAGGAACCATCAGCGTTAGGTGGAACATCATCTCTCAAGCCCAGGTTGGAGGCTTAGTAGCTCCACCACCTCAACCAAGCACCAGTTCAGCATCAGCGCTACTCTTGGGAGCTGAGGCTGCCCTAAAGAAGTATAAGAAGGCCAGAGCCAGGCTTGCAGCAGCTACAAAAGACTTGAGTGATGTGAAATATTCTGCAGGTGATGGATAGAAAGAGGATTTTGTTCCAAATCTTCTGGACTCCTGCTCTCTAAGCTGGAGGTTTTATGGCGAAGAAGGATTTTTCAATTGGAACCAGCAGTTTCAGAGACAAGCGCGTTCAAACAAAGACTATCTACAGCTTTATTATAATAGCAAGTTTTAATAGGCTTTGATCATTGGCTTGCAGCTGTCTCACTGATGGTAAAAAGGCCTCTTCTTACAGAAGCTTTTTAGGGATGGAAATCATTCGAAGACTTCTCCTATCCTGGATGGTGCGAGGGAGTGTCAAGCCCGCAACGACGCATCGGCTGTTATGGACCCATCTATAGTGATGTGATGCCCCAATATGTTTTAAGGATTTTTTTGTTTCCTGACATGTTAAAAATTTATGTCTTTGTACAAACATAGTAACTCAAAGTAAGATTCATAAAGTGCACGATATAGACCGCCTATGCAGATTTATAAACCATAACTGTTATTTTGTGAAGGGAAAAACATAAATACATTCCCTATTACTGACTAAAATCCCCCAGGAACGGGACTTCCTTCTCCTGCTCTAGGCCGAGCCTAATTGCGCTTACCCGGAACCCCAGCTGAACATTAGATTTATAGGGCCCGTCTGTGGTGGAAAATGAAACAAACGACTTTTTGTCCTTGATATAAATTATAATTTATTTGTGATTGATTTTGAATAAATAAGTCACACATCACATTGAGTTTGTTTTTAAAATTACTAGAAGTGACATAAAGAGGTAGATTATAATTTAAAAAGTAGTATTATTAAATTTTTAAACACTAAAACCTTTTTTAATGTAAAACTTTTTATTATCTTATATAGGTAATATTCCAATTTACTTAGAAAGTTTAAAGTACAAAACACGCCTAAGATCTTGGATTGCAGATAGGTACCTAATTTGTTACATTATCAAAAAAAAAACATTGAAAATACTTACATAAATAGTTTATTTATTTTCCAGACTTTAAAAAAAGAACATCTCAATTTAGCTTTTTATTAAACGAATATTAAATGAAATGGCTTACCGACTAAGCGAGCGTCGATCATGCTGCTCATTATTATGGGCCCTTGATGTGGTTTGAATATAGACGAAGTAATCTCGTCATAAAAGTTGCACCAATAAGACATTTATTTAACCTAATTAATTCAATATCTGTATACATTATTGAATAAGGGCAATCAATTATGATGGTACATTGGTTTCTTTTTTGATCTTATATATATGTATGTAGGTAAGTATTTAATCTAGTGTCACGAATATACCGGTGAAGTCACAGACTCAAAAATGCTTCTTTAAAACCTGAAACATTTCATTTAAAATCGTTCCTCTTTACTTATAATTTAAGTGTAGGTATTTTTAAACAGAACAGCATTGAATAATGAGATATAAATAAGTAGTTGAAAATAAATGTCAAACGATTTTATACGCACAAGAAAACGACGTAGTACCCACCGAATGGAAATAGCCACTCGATTGTTACTTAAATTATCAGATTCTTGTATAAAGTGTATTAAAGCTTACCTAACCTTTCAATCGTGTTAATTCGAGAAACGCCGGCGTCCTCTTGGAGTTTGGTGAATTAAATGAAATACCTATTGAAATATTATTTGCCTCACTCAGCTAACGAAAATGAACAATAAAGATATTAACCTAAATTATATAATGCCTTGATGTAAACTATAATTATAATTAGGCGTTACTTTGTGGAAATCCATGACATTAAAAGTTATGAAAAGTATCTAGTTTTAATTCTGCGACAACCTTTTTTTAGCACGTGTGCATTTGCATGCTTCCTTTCCTGCATGATTGCAAAGGGTGGGACAACAAGCTTGGATTTTTGTCGCGGAATTAAAACTTTTTTTTGGGAGTCACCGGTGACCTCCTTTTGCGGAGGAGTTGCCTTCAACAGTTTTCTGTCGGCAGTCAAAGGCTTGACCCGCAACCCCGGCTGAACATCAGCCCTATAGGGCCCCGTCTGGGGTGACCTATTGGCTGCAGAATGAAAACTAGATATTTTTCATAACATTTAATCCCTTGATTATTCCTTCAGGACTTGGACTATGGTATCGACATTTTCTTCTGACTTATTAGTTTTTACCATATCGAATAGCGTCTCTAAGTTGTTGAGTAACTGCGGCCAGTCGTCTAGCTTGGCGTCTGCGAGCGTCACGCATGCGCAGAAGACGCACACTCCGTGCGTCTGTCAGCGCCGCGTGCGCAGCGTGGTTTGCACGACGCGCCGCCTCCATTGCTGTTACCTCTTGACGAAGGAGCGCAGTCTCCCACGAGCTGAGAGCGTTTTGTATTGCGACTTTCTGGAATAGGTAAACAATTATTTGGATCAAGAACCAGTCACAATATAGCATCATCAGGTAAGTTATCGTGGCCGTGTACACAAGTGTGGCTTACGTTTGTGTTAGCTGGTACTTACAGCTCTTAACAAAAGAAATAAAAAAAAAACTGAAAGCAGGTATGAATGGGTCGGCTCGACCGGATTGATACCACGACCTTACAAAAAACTGACGTGAAACAACTACAACGCATCACATCGCTGTTTGCCGTCCTATCATAAAAAAAACAGTTAAATATTCCAGTAAGTACAGATCCAATAAGCTGGCGTCAGCTCGAAACAAGAACTACAAATTCCACTTCCCGCTCCATGAAAAAGTCTGCAACGCACTATATTAACTCCTCTAAAGTTCTTTGGCAGCATTGATTGCTTACCATCAGGTTATCTGCCTGCTTTACACGCCATATAAAGTACCTACGTACCTGTGAAGCATCCTTTAACATAGCATTTCGTCTTTTACGGGCGTCATCAGCTTTCTTCTGTGCGTCCATGTACTCGACGTGTTTCCTGAACTGGTCTGTTTCGCTGATGAGGGAGCGTCTGTCAGCAGCTAGCTGTGCACGAGCTTCTTCCTCCAAAGCCTTGTCTACTAGGAGACTTGTCTGAAGAAATAAGAAGAAGATAGTTATGGTTGGGTCGTCTTCTATCTCATAAGACTCAACTATTGTAGAATAAAACAAAGATGTAGTTCGCACAACAATATTTTATTGACTGCCTTGCGCGGGCGACCTGCAGTACATTTATAATACGGGACCATTACGGGACACAATTTAACTTAGGAATACCCTACATTACACTTATAATTTTTTTTTCTGTTATAGGTCGGCGAAAGAGTAGACGGATTACCTGATGGCAAGCAATCAGCGTCACCCATAGACACTCGTAAATACGACAAAAGTTTTTATAGGTGCGTTGCCGGCCTCTGGTGGGTTATTAGGGATTTACGGATAGGAGATTTTAGGATTGAGGACTAGGCCTAAGTGTTGTTTCACGCCGGTTTTCTGTAAGTCCGTGGTATCACTCCGTTTGAGCCGACCAATTCTTCTCGAAGTATGACTCTCCCAAACTTAATCTACATATGTACGGTACTTGTTGCATGTTAGCTGAATTCAGCATATTTGTTTACTAGGTACTTGTTTTGGTACTCGTAGTAAGTAGCTGGATTGCCTCGTTTAAGTGTACCTATATGAAACTAGCGACATACTAATTGTTTAGTAAGAAATAAAGGAAAGAACTGATCGAGCTCTGCAAATACTGGTCTGAACTGATCGACTGCACGGTTGCTGGCTACTGGCTGCCGTGCAGCGTGTCGCGGGTTCGATTCCCGCACGGAACAACTCTTTGTGTGACCCACAAATTGTTGTTCCGGGTCTGGGTGTCATGTGCATGTGAAATTGTATGTTTGTAACCGCACCCAGAAACAGGAAAAAAAATCCTAGAGTGGGGCATCGTTTAAAAAAAGTGTTAGGCTAAGAACTCACGGAGCGATTTTCGCCCGCGTCCGCTGCGGTTGCGGGCCCGCAGCTTCTATAGAATTCAAATATATATATAAAAAATTAAAGCACATTTCACGACGCGTTTTACGCTCGCGGTGGACGCGGTTGTACGCGGCTCCCGCTGTACCGGCGGGCAACTAGTAGAATCGCGCGGGCCGCGGTTACCCGCAGCCTCGGCGGGTGGCACCCGCGCGCTTTGCGATCAGTTGGCGAGCGACCGCGGGGGCCGGCGGGTCTTCTGTGAAGTAAATATAACGCAACGGCTCGTTTCTAGTGTATGTCCATGGTGGTCCGGACCTCAACTGATCGTTTTAACCGCCCGTCTTGCAATCTTGCGATCATCGCCCGCCACGTTTGCGGGCGATGATCGCAACCGCGGCGGCTGTGTAACCGCCCAAATAACCGGTATCGTGAGTTTGGAAATAAAACCGCAGTTCCGCTACCGCGGCGGGCACGGTTCAAAATCGCTCCGTGAGTTCTTAGCCTTATAGTACCAGTTTTTACATGCGTTTACAAAAAAAAGAAACAATAATTTGGTATGCCCATTTATCGCAAGCGTGATTAATGAGTAAGGGTGTAAGGTTACATTAAATTATTGGATCAGTAAAAAATATATTACCGATATATTTATGACAAAAAATTACACAGTACCTAATCATGCAAATGCCATTTTCATTACCTACCTTTTTGTCATCAAGATAAGCTCGTAGAACAGAGCTGCGGTGTTCCTTATGCTTGATGCTGTCCATCAGCTCCCGTTGCCTCATGAGAGCCTCCATGAACTTCTGATGCCGCATGAACTCCTGACGAGACTTCTCCTCACGTCTTTTCATGACAATGTAGCGTTTGTACTCATGCATTGTTTCGGCTTCCACCTGTGACAGTCAATTGTTTATTTAAAAAGTGATTCTGACATTACAAAAATGTGCTTATCGTGATATCCACCTGCTTAAATTATACATATATTGCGAAAGTTTGTAAGTATGCATGAATGGATGGATGTTTGTTACTCTTTCACGTATAAATTACTAAAGAGATTTGAGTAAAGTTAGGTATAGAGATAGGTAGTCTGAAATATGAATTGCACATCGACTATTTTTTATCATAAGGAACTAGTTCGTTATAAATTTATTAATGACTAGATTGGTAGATACCTACTTATATTTAGTTTAGGTGTACCTAGGTGTTTTATTTCTGGCAGGCTTTGATCAAAATGGCGGAACGCACTAGGTTCCTTACGTGCCATTCGAGCGTTGCCAAATCTTATTTTTTTTTAGTGTAGCCAAATGTTTAAAAAGAAAAAAACTGTGCACACTGATTAATAGTGATATCGGTAAATAGCGTGTTTTCATAACTAACTTTACATAATAAATTCTTAAACGCCTACTCAATTTGAAGTAATGTATGTCCTCAAAGTCAACAAGCTATTTAAAAAACTGCAGGCGCTCAATACATCATCACTTTGCAAAGAAACTATAAAATATAGTAGACACCGCTAAGCTCTCACAATTTCTCTTTCTTCTTTCTCCTTCTGCCATAGTTTGTGGAACTCGTCAGCAAGCTTCTCCTGTTCATCATCATCAGCTCGCTTTCTTGCAAGAGCGGCTAACAATCGCCACTCTCTATCAGGTATTGCTTCTAGAAGGTCAGTACCAGCTTCATAATCGTATGATCGAAGCAATTGTGAAATGGAACTTGGTACTGGAAAAAAACTGATTCTTTAGCCAGATAGGTATTTGTAGATTTTAAAAGTACTTAATAAAGCAATTAAGTTAGTTGGTAGTTTATGATTTTGTAATAGAAATAGAACGAACTGCTTATCATCTTGTTAGCTACTCTTTTTGTACGACGCCTGTGGCGTGTTGTGAATATCACAAATGCTAGTTGATATTATATTATTTTAAAAGGCGCTAAGATATAAAATACAGTGTGATTTGCCTCTATTTATACCTACATTTTATGATGCGATGACACGGTTAGTGCTACGGTTGGAACTAAAATTACTGGATTTTTTAAGGAAAGTATCTTTAATGAAAAATTTGAGATTTATTGCAACGATAGCTTGAAATAACAAAAGAAAACATCACTTTACAGCAGGCACTACGGCCCGTCTCGGGTTCACAAGGATGCTATACAGATTCAATTGCTCCACTATTTAATGGATTTTTTAAACGGTATCAATAGCTGCTGAGTAGGTAGTTTTAAAAATTCAAGCATATATAGGGATATATAAGGAAAGAGGAAGCAACTTTGTTTTGTACTATGTAGTGATAAGCAAAAACAAATAAACAATTTTATATGAATAAAACTTGAAAACTAGAGTGCAAATACTTGACAGGATTTAATACGCTAGTGGCGCCAAATGACAGATGCAAAATACAATATTCGTCTCACCATTTATGCCGACTCGAGGTGATTTCTTCCGCGGAGACAAGCTGCAGCGTCTCGGACTCTCTGTTATTATTTTGTAACAAAACACCATTATATCAACTTCCTCGGTTTATTTTGATTGTGAGAGTAACAAACACTTTTGTTAAGTAAATACTGGATACATAATCTTTAACTTTATAACAATGTAAGTCCGTTAGTTAGACTTAAACTCTGAAACGGCTGGACTGACTTTGTGATAGGACGGCAAACGAGCAGACGGATTACCTGATGGTAAGCAATCAGCGCCACCCATGGACAGGCAACAAAAAAAAGGGGTTACGAGTGCGTTACTGACTTTTTGGGGATTAGGGATTTGGAGATTTAGGGAGAGTGGAAGTATTGGGTCTCCGGTAACTTCACTCACACGGTGAAACACAACGCTGTGGTTGTTTCATGCCTGTTTTCTGTAAGGTCGTGGTACCACTTGAGTCGAGCCGACCCATTCGTGCCGAAGCATGGCTCTTCCACACAAAAAACTTAGTATATATATATATATATTGTTTATATACAGTTTTGGTCTTGAAATATTTGTGTAAATCTAGGAAAGGTAAACGGTAAGAAAAAACGGAAAAATGCGTCTAAAATACTAAATACGAAAGTTTTCTTTCCACTAAAAACTGCTCTGTAAAATAATTAAATAAAATGTTAGCTAGTCTGGTTATAAGGTATTTAATGCAACTTCATGCATTGCATCGAATTCCTAAAAGAGGCCCTGTAGTGTGATTCCGTAAGACTTCATTCTAAACTTCGAATCTGAATCCGCCGTGAGTAGTAGTACACTAGCGCTACACTTGCGAGTTGAACTAAATTGACAGCATCATTTTGATAGATAAAGTATGAGATGACGTTAAAAGTGACATTCTAAAATTTAATTTCCTTGTCACTTCGACGCTCACTTCGCACTCGAACACGATTCATAATCAAACAAATTTTATAGAATCGACGTGCTGGAACCAAAAACTTAAATTAGTCTAAAGGACTCTTGTCCTTTGGATTACTGTCAAAAATCTGGTTCATTCAGCGTTCTCACGATTCGAATTGATAACACTTAAAATCGGTTTTATTATTTTTACATGATATGGTGGCAAACCAGTAGACTGGGCACCTGATGGTAAGCAGTTGGTGGCCATCCATGGCCTTTTAAGGATAAAGGGTTTTGGGGATTTAGGAACTAGCAACAGAAAGATCACTCTCACCGCGAAACAACGATGTGGTTGTTTGACGCCGGTTGTCTGTGAGGCTGTGGTATCCCTCCGGTCAGTTAAGCAGTCCACCCGTGTCGAAGCATGGCTCTCTTACGCTTAAAATATAGCTGTTAATAGCCATATCTACAACTAAGTACATGTGTTGAAGAATGGCTATTAAAACTGCATGTACTTAAGTAACAATAGCAACCTTTTTCAAGAATAGGCGGAAGTCAAAGAGGTAATTCACCCCATGACTTGGGTGTTAATACACCATAGATAGCATCACAGTTTGTGGTCAGCTGCTGCCGACCGTGATAATGGCATTAACCTCAGGGTCAGTCAGTGGAACGAGCTGCTAAGTCTACCTAGGCAGATTTTTATAAGCATATTACTGACTGCTCTACCGAAAAAGTAAGTTTTTTTATGATTATGATCAGACGGCAAACCTGGAGACGGATTACCTGATGGTAAGCAATCAGAGCCTCCCATGAACACCCACAACAACGGAGGTGCCTTTTGGGGAGTGAGTTTTTTGAGTTTGGGAGTTAGGGATTAAGCCTTCGGTAATCGCCGTCACATGGCGAAATACAACGCTGTGGTTGATTCATGCTGGTTTTCTGTGAGGCTGTGATATCACTCCGGTCGAGCCGACCCATGTAGCACGAAGTAAGTACCTTATTAAGTACGAAAACGTATTTTTTTTATATGACAATTTGGCAAACGAGCAGACGCATTACCTGATGGTAAGCAATCAGTGCTGACCATGGACAACCGAAACAATAGAGGAGTGCGTTTCTGACTTTTTGGAGAATAGGAATTTGGAGATTAAGAGATTGGGGAGGGATTGGGGGAAGAAATGGGCTTCTGGTAACCTCACAAACACGGCGAAACACAATATGATTGTTGCTTTACGCCGGTTTTATTCGTGGTATCACTCCGGTCGAGCCGACCCATTCGTGCCGAAGCATGGCTCTCCCACACTTAGCATGATAACATGATTCGAATCAATTTAGAACAAAAAACAGCAACAGACAGGAAAAGGAGGATAACTTAATAACCTTTATTAACCTCTGCCCTTGTACTAAACACTAAAAACAAAACAAAATCAAAAAATGATCATTTAGAAAACCTCTTTACACGAATTAAAACACAATTTCAAACACTTATTTCACAAGAACTATCACATAATTGTGTTGGTATTCTGTAAAACTGAAAACTAACTAGCCTGTATGGGGTTGCTAGGTTTCTATCGATTAAACTTTCAGCTTTCAATGTTACAACCAAGGTTGTGTCGGACATAGATAATAGCGACGCAAGAAAATAATGAGTTTTGAAAAAAATATGCTCATGTTTTCAAGAAACATTTTGGCTAAGTACTGGTTCGATTTGGTTAATTTTTTTCTTCAAATATTCGTGGAAGTCCGGGGTACTTATGTTTAAAAGTCTAAGTACCTATGTATGTGCGCAACCATTAAATCAATCCATAACTCAATGTGGAAGGAAGTTTGCCATGTTAGCTAATGATGAACAAATATTAGTTTGAAAGTTTGGATTAATAAATTTTCTTATAGGGTCAAAATAGCTCGAAAGCATTGGAATTAAGGATGAAACATATTCATGAAACTCAATACTCTCAACAGCCTCAAAATGAATCTTCATATTAAGCAGGAAGATTGAAATAAGTGTATGCAATGCAATGCTTAATATTCATCTTAAAAAATCGATTTCATCGACAAAAAGTTTTTTTTTTAATAATGGTAAGTGTTCGTTCTGGTACCTGCGATAACAAGGATCAAGAAATGCATAAAATACTTTGTGTATGTGATATTGTCACGCACGATGTTTACTTGCGTAAAAGACAAAGCGAAGAATGTTTGTAATGTTGAAATTATTTATATTGTAATTGTTATTCTTACGCAGTAATTTTGTAATTAAATTCCATTAGTAATTAGTATTGGTCAATGCATTGTATGTACAAAAGGAGACAAAGAAATGAAATTAGGATCAGTATTTTTTTTATGTAATAGATCGGCAAACGAGCGGACGGATTACCAGATGGTAAGTAATCAGCGCCGCCTATGGACACCCGCAACGGAAGAGTTACGAGTGCGTTGCCGACCTTCTAGGGATTAGGGATTTGGAGATTTAGGGATTGAGGAGGAATTGGGGGTGGGGAAGGATTGGGGATTCGGTAACCTCACTCTCACGGCGAAACACAACGCTGTGGTTGTTTCACGCCGGTTTTCTGTGAGGCCGTGGTATCACTCCGGTCGAGCCGACCCATTCGTGCCGAAGAATGGCTCTCCCACACTTAAATGTATATATACAAATGTTCTATATTCATCAGGCAACATCATTCATCATCATATCATCATCAGACAGCCATACACTGCTAAACAAGAGTCTCTCTCTCAAGGGTCAGGGGTCAATAATTTCGGCTTGATCGCAAGGATACCACGGCCTCACAGAATACTGGTGTGAAACAACACAATAAGTTGTGCTTAGCCGTATGAGTGAGATTACTAGCGGCCCAATCAAAAAAAATGATTTAATCATTTGGAGATGGATATCGACGGATTAAAAATTTTAAATCCCTAACCACCCAAGGCTTCAACAAATATAACTTCTTTAATGTTAATAGTGTCCATGGGTGGCGCCGATTGCTTTCCATCAGGGAATCCGACTGCTCGTTTGCCGATCTACTTATATGAAAAACCAAAGTATGCCACTTAGCACCATTTTCAGCTTTTCACATTAAACCAGATCGCAGATCGACAAAACTCCACCATGTATCGAGGATGTATCTTATGGCGAAAAGTCTGTCAGTTTCTTTTCCCGCCCTGAGTGAGGTAAGAACCAGAGTGACTTAACTAAGCCGCGGTACTTCATGAAGTTTGTCTAAACATGGCCAGATTCGTATTAGGAATAATGATTCTGCGACATTGTAGGTATGTATGTTTTTGACACAAAATATCATTATTATAAACAATTTCCATAACCTAATTCATAATAAATGCAGTTACCGGACGTGAGTAAATGAGCTATACTTAAGTAGCTAGTAGCGTTCTATTGTTTCGGTGAATTCCTTACTTACAATTTCCGTAATTAAACTCTTTGCCTCACGCACCCGTCTAATCACATTATTATTGAAGCTATTTGTTACCGTTTTGTTGAACAAAACATAAAGGCAAAAAGACGCACGAACTACATTTTAGTTTGTATGATTACATTATTACAAACACAAAAAAAACACTTATCTGCTATTTACAAAACAAATTATACTAAGTACTTATAGTTTTAAAACAAAACCTACTTTAAAGTGAACAGTGCATTGTGTTATGATTATTTTGCGTAGAAATATCAAACAGTCACACAAGTTAGACATACAAAACATGAGAGAATATTATCAACGCTTATCTGGTTCGAAGATATCGCGCGGGTGATAAGCGCCAGTTGAAAACACACCGCGGGCCGGTGATGACGTCCGATATGGACAAAGATAAACCAAAACCTGCCGTCAGACGACCTGATGTCTTGAGGAAGCTAAACGCCGATAGTTTGTATATGATCGAACGAGGTCTGCTGGGAGACCTTCCAGACAAACTCAAACCACCACCAATAGTGCCGTCCAGAGCCCAGATAAACGATCTTGCTGTCGCCAAACCATCTGGGCTGTTATCAGCATGTCTGCCCATCCCAGATTCACCTGTATCAGACAGAGTGAGTTCTTCCGAAGATGAAAGCAAAGTCGAAGGTTCCCCGTTGAAGAAAACATTCAGCTTCCGCGATAGGCTGTCAAGAATAAGTTTTTTCAACAAAGACAGAGACAAAGATAAAGATAAAGAAAAACCAAAATGGAAAACCATCGTGGAAGACGAGAAGAATGAAGACCCAATAGTGAATCATGGACCATTAAAGCTAGCTCCGAGGAGGTCCGACACAAAAGCAGAACAGGATTACAAAAGTAATAAGCGTTTTTGGTTCTTCAGAAGCAAAGAGTTAGAGAAAAGGGAAAAGGGTCATAGGCCCGTCTACATGCGTAGCAAGAGTTTCGAATTTCTACCAAGAGCTTTGGAAGAAGATGAGGATGAAATATCACCAAGAATAAAGAAAAACATCTACCCCTTCGGCAGTAGGGATACTATGGGCGATGCTTGGACATCGAACGAGAGCCTCGAATACTTAGCTAACATCTACCATGACAGTGACGACGGAGTGTGCCTTAAAAGTATTAAAGAAATAGCTTCAGATCTCTCGTATAATAATTCTAGTACATCGATCCCAACTTCGGGATCAAGTGTTGCTAATGTTAAGAATATTTTGAAGACAGAGTCAGTTGAGGATGTTTTCAAAGAGTTTAAGAAAGCGGTTGAACTATTCAGTGAGAATTATTTGAGTGACTGTGAGCCGTATACAAAGACCAAGGATTTGACGGTCGAGCAGAAGAGAAAGAGTTGTTCGTTTACAACGTTGCCGTCTCCGAAAGTGGTGCAAGTGGTGCAATGCAATAAAGTGGGTGAGGCTAGTGAAGACTTCAAGAAAGAGTTGTCTAGAGTGTTGAATCTGAAACGTGAAGTGCGGTCTCCGTCGGCCAGGAGAGGTTCAGTAACGGACTGGTTTGTGCTAGAAGACAAGGCAGCTTCTGCCAGCGCTGGCGCTGGTGTTACATCAGTGCCGGAATCTAACAAATACAGGAGGGGAAAGAAGAAAGATATCAACCGAGTTCGAAGAATCAGCTCTACGAAATATGTAAGTGGCCCTTTTTATCTGATTGATAGTAACGTGTTGCATTGTGAATTCTTGATAAGTACGTTTGAACGCTGATTAGCAATTATTTATCTATGTCAGGTTTGTCATTGTTTTGTATTTTTTTAAAGGATGTCCTTTAGCGAGTTTGAAGATGGGAAATTGGTTTTCTTTCGATGATATTGCGAATTTTCTTTAAAATTGTTTTATCGCATTTTGGTCTAGTCACGCCATACGATATCTAATATTTTATCATTGAAAAAAAAAAAAACTTCCTAGATGGTATTTCCAGCCAAGTGCTTACTGACTTTGATGAAATTCAATTCAAGTTTTTTTAAGTAGAAGTTGTAGAAGCTATAGTAGTATTTTCTAAAACCTATTCTATATTTTTGAATAAGTAACCATTTTATTATCTATATCAACAAGGTTCGAATTTTAATTCCTGTTATCCCGGTGTCACAAAAATCTTCATTGTTGTAAAGCTATGTTCAACTATATAAGTATATTCACGTAATCAGAGCGCCGTTTGCCCTATTTCACCAATTAGATTACTTATTGTGACTGTCTTTATCGTTTGCTTGTCGATAAAGAGCTCGCAGTGACTCGATTGATAACTATAATAGTTCTACACTTGTATTCTTCAAAGCGCTTTATAGTTATTTGACTTACGAAACAAAGAAAACTTTTGTTATTCCTCTTTTGGAAATCTGTATGTCAGAGTGCGGCAATACTTTCTCCTGCCATAGGTGGGGCGAGAGGGAGTGTCAGACTCTTGCTGAATTAAAACTGTGACGTTTCCTTCTCCTGCTCGAAGCCAAGGACATGGTACATAATTGCACTAGCACCAGCAACCTGGGCTAAAGTTAAAGAAACTAGGTCAAGACTACTTTTTAATAAGTATAAGTTCAATGCAGTATGGTGTATCCATAAGGGATCCATAGTCCGTTCTAATTACCGAGAACATTTTTGAATGTAGAACAGAAAAACCCTAAAATATTGGCCGACTGGAGAAACGCGTTAGTATAAATATAGGTAGTATTTTAAGGCCTGATTTTTCAATAGTTAGGTATATGTTATTTAAGGAATATAATTGTTGCTGTCTTACACAAACATTCTGATGCGACAGCATTATAATTATTCTCTAGATAACTTTTTTGTAACTATTGAAAAATCAGCCCTAAATATAGCTGCGTCCGCGCCAGTTTATTCATTGTTTCTGTGTACGCTGCAGCTTTTTAACTCATTAGAAAGGGCATCATTTTCAACCGTTTTGCACTTGTTAAAGAGAGCATGACTAGTTTCTGCATAGCGAACCTGAGACTTAACAATAGGTGGTACAAACTCACTTATATTTTGTTACACATAGCAGTTTATTCTAAGCTGGATCATGTTACAAGACCTGCATTATAAGCCTATAACTAAAATGTATCAAAAGTAGCTCTACTAAGTTGAGCTATCGCTTGTAGATTTTACTGACTAAAAATTTTACTGTTTTATTCATCAAATCCAAACTAACATTATAAATTTGCGAAAGTAATTCAGTCTGTCTGTCTTTTCTTCATGCCTAAACTACTCAACCTATTTGTGTGAAATTTAGTACATACATAGTTTGGAACTCGAGAAAGGACATAGGATAGTTTTTCAACCAACAACCTGCACGAAGTCACTTTTCCACGCGAACAAAGTCGCGGACAAAAGCTAGTTATGTATGAAAATAATTTAAATAAAATGTGTCATTGCCATACCTTTGGATTATTTTAGAGTAAGTAAGTATAATAAAATGAGTTTGAGTTTATTTTTAGACTTAATCAAATTCTGAGGTACCTAATACATTAATGTTTTTTTTTGTTGAAAAGGTTGAAAGAAGATATGATATTTTTCTGACAAAAAGATAGAATATAGCAATCACACGTCAAAAATCGCTATATTCGTATATTTACCAATCGAATTGGTTCAAATCTTATCTGAACGCAAATTAAAGTTAATAAATAATGAAGTGTTTATTATCTATAGATTACATTTTTGTCATATGTGACTCATATATGAAGAACAATATTTCAGTTTTCATGGACAGCACATTGTTCGTCAGTCACACTGGTATTTATTTACCATACTTTTTCTTTAAAAGCTATTTTTTTAATTGGTTCTCTTATTTAAAAACAGAAGACTACCAATAATGAGTCCTGTCGGGGTTGCAATGATATAGCACATCCGTCTCTGAGCAAAATCCTAGTGTGGGGCATATATAAAAAATACTTTGTGGTGTGGGGCAAAGTTTTTTTAGTAAGTACAAATCTGACATTCTCTTCTCTATTCACCTAAAACATTAGAAGAGTATTTACCCATAAGAAATCCAATAACTGCCACCAACAATTGGAAAATTATCCTGGTTATACTGCGGTCACTCGCTGCTCGGCTCCGGCTAGATCGTAGCGTAATGTTTTATAGCCTATAGCGCTTAGAAATATTGTAGCTATCTATCAGTGAAATAATTTTTTCCTACTTACAAACTTATAAACTTACAAATTTTACCTCTTTATAATATTCGTATAGATATAGATGCATTTCTCCTTTTTGCAGATACTATCATCTCGTAGGTATATGTATCAAACAAGAGTAAAACATACTTATATTTAAAGTGAATTTTTTAAAACATTTTTTTGATTTCAATAGCATTTTCATTTGGCGCCTAAAAGGACCAATATTTGTACATTTTGATAGCTAATGATTGATTTATTTCGAACAGTGATATCAATATCTATTTTTAAAAACTACCTAAACCTATATGTATACTACATAGCTATATATTATTATTTACCTACCAAATACGTACTTTGTTACATTCCTCTACGATTTGTCATTTATGATTTTCACGCATTTCTATGTATTTACATCGAAAAAATTATTGCATATTTTACTCAATGACACGCGAATGTAACATTGATAACAGTGCGCTGATAACTTGCGAGGATTAAAACGTAAAAATTGAAATATTTCAATGGCGCCTAAATGAGGACAATGCCATATGAATTTGCATTTTACGCATCGAATTTCCGTTTTCGTGCTTACGTAAGTACATGTTTTCTTTTTGATAATCGGGGAAAGAAAGGCTAAAATGTCAGTGTAAAATGTCGAAATACTCATAAAATTATATATGACTCGGAAAAAGTCACATTGGTTTTTGATAGGTTTCGTAGAAGCACCCTCATGCATGAGGAATGATTATTTCATAAACAAACTACCGCGTAAATTTAAATGTGACTATAGTCATATTCAATATACTGTAATAACTATTACGGGCCTTTGCTATAACTTGAAATTAATCGAGTTAACTAGTCAAACCTTGATTTAACCTCGAACTTCCTATTTATCGATTTGACAGTGAAAAAATAACGTGTTTAAACAAATAAACATTAGTCTAAATGGCAGAGCGTGACTGTATCCATCAAAACTTAGCATTTTCAAATTACTGTTAGTTGCGAAATCGCTTTAAACGATTTCCAACCTTACTCTTTAGTGATAAAAGTGGAAATATGTTGAATAATTTTAACATATTGGTGTAGTTTCATGTGCTGGTGTCTGTACCAGGGTGCCGCAATTTCAAGGTCTGTGAAGTCATGTGACAATACCCCATTAGTTAAAGGTCACTCATGTGAATGTTCATAACATCGTGTTTTAAAGGTTTTAGTAGATATTCATTTGCAGGCTTGGTCTTCCATCAGGATTTTCTTAGGATTTTTTATTCATTTATTAGTCGGTAAAGGAGCGGAGTCGGGTTACCTGGTGGTAACCAATCAGCGCCGCCCATGGACACCCGTAATACCAAAGGAGTTATTACAGGTGCGTTACCGGATCATTAGGGATCCTCCTTATTGACCATTAGAGATAGGGGATTTGATTGATGGATTGAGGATGGGGGTGGGATTGAGTTACGAGTGCGGTAGGATTGTGCTTCCGCCCGATAACCCCACTTACACGACGAAACACAACGTACATATGTATTGCTTCACGGGTTTCCGTGGTGTCACTTCGGTTGAGCCAGCCCATTCGTTCCGAAGCATGGCTCTCCCACACTCAAGTCAGCCATTAGAACACCATAGGCAGGATCCAATAGCGTCGATATTCAGTTGAGGTTGCAGGGCAAGCGCTATAGGACACCGCGTCCTCGGCCTGGGGCAGGAAAAGTATCGGGGTGGTTTTTAGTCAGTCAGTCTGCCACTCCAGGTAAGAGACCTTGGGGGTGAGAAGTCTTTTGATAATATTACCCAATCAACAAAAAAGCTAACACAATAGTTGTTGTTACACAGGCTCAGGGGCAGCACAATCTTATCTTATTTTATATTAATATTCAGGGCTGCTCCTCTAAATTATTTGAATTAGAAATGTTCCTCGAGAAAACACAATTTGATATTGTGTGTTTAGCGGAACATTGGATGAAAGAGGACCAATTAATATCTTTTAATTTTGATAATTATATTGTAATAAGTAATTTTAGTAGAAAGTATATGTTACATGGTGGGTCCTTAATTTTAGTTAAAAATAGCATTAAGTCCAAAGAAAGGAAAGATATTGTAGCACTGTCAGTTGAACACACTATTGAGTTGTCCTGTGTTGAGCTGGATAGACATGTTGTTGTTTGTGTATATAGACCACCTAATTATCAGAATCTTGCATTGTTTGATTCTGTAATGGAAGATGTTTTGAGGAAAGTATGTTCTAGCCATAAATCAGTACTTGCATGTGGCGATTTTAATATTAATTTATTGGAGAACAATACAAGTGGCATGGAGCTATTAAATTTGTTTGAATCATTTAATTTAAAAAATGTTTTTCAAGAACCGACTAGGATAACACCCTCCACAGCCACATGTATTGATAACATTTTTAGTAACTGCAAATATTTAGAAAAAAAAGTTATAAACAGTTTATCTTCTGACCACAGTGGTCTTGTGGTTACTTACAGCTCTTATTTGCCTCTTCAAAAAATTCAAATAAAGTTTAGA